TTACATGAGGGCTGGAGCACCTCTCCTGTGAAGAAAGGTTGAGGGAACTGGGCTTGTTTAGCTTGGAGAAGAGAAGGCTGCAGGGAGACCTCATTGTGGCCTTCCAGTGCTTGAAGGGAGAGGATAAACAGGAGGGAGAATGGCTGTCTACAAGGGTGGATGGTGATAGGACAAGGGGGAATGGTTTTAAACGGAGACAGGGGAGGCTTAGGTTAGATATGAGGAGGAAGTTTTTCAGCCAGAGGGTGGTGAGGCACTGGAACAGGTTGCCCAAGGAGGCTGTGGATGCCCCATCCCTGCAGGCATTCAAGGCCAGGCTGGATGTGGCTCTGGGCAGCCTGGGCTGCTGGTTGGTGACCTGCACACAGCAGGGGGTTGGAACTGGATGTGCATTGTGCTCCTTTTCAACCCAGGTCATTCTGCGATTCTATGATTCTATGAAGATGAAAAGCACCATGGCAAATCCTTGGTGATGGCGCATCCCTGGATTTCTCACCCCACCTCCTGGAGGTGTCAATATTGTAGCAGGAACAGTGCTGGGAGCCTGGGCTGCTCATACCCAGGCAGCCACTGGCAATTACTCCACCCTGAGTGAGTTCCTATGTGACCATATCCATGGGCATGGTGAGGATGGGCTGATGGTTGGGCGTGATGATCTTAGTGGCCTTTTCCATCCTAATGATTCTGTGATTCTGTATTTTGTTAAAAGGCTTACCAGTTCCCATGTAGGAGAGAGAGGAAGACAAGAAGAAGGGAATCGGCCATTTTTTTTCTTTTCCCATTTGTTTTCTTTTGGTTCTGCTTTCCTGGATAGCATTATTAATAATCCTTTGTCAGGGTGCCAGGGACCTGTCATCCCGAATGCAGCATAATTAAGTGGGCAGTATCTGCAGAGGTGTACAGACATTAAAACTGCTTAAATGAGAGAAAGCCAGAGAGGAAAATTTTGGAAGGGCACTGAGGAATTTTATTTTTTGAGCATCTGAACGGACAAAGGCCTTGAAAAATAAATACCAGCCACAAGATCTCGCAGGACAGAATGTACTTTTAAAGTACTTTACTTTCTATTGCGTCCGCTGCACAGTATTTGTAAACCATCACCTTGACATTTTTTTTTTAGTCCCAACTATAAATAATAAAGGGGAAAAAACACAAGACCAACAGATTGGAGTTTGATGAGGAGGAAAAATGTAATTATACAGACAGCTTTGCTTGATAAATGCAGTATCAAGGTAACAGAAGTTCTGCTTCTCATTAATACAACCTTTAACATCATCTGTCAAATGATAAACTAATTATAGAGCTGCCTTAGCTGATACAGCCCATTATTTTCTCTCGTTTTGAACTGTTTAAATTTAACATAAATATATAGGTACAAATTATCTGTGGTGTTTTTTTCAGATTCTTGCCCTATTGAAAAACAAAAGGTGCATGCAGGCCAAGAGAATAGGACGTGGATAAGACAGTGCAGCAAGGCATTCTGCTCTCAGAAAGCCCAGTAGATGGTTGGTATTGATTCGGTCGAGGTGACCTATGCTGATACAATCAGTCCTTATGATCTCAAATTCAAAATAGCTATAGTAAATTAAATTAATAGAAGCAATTTGCTGCTCCCAAGTAACATTGTAACATAGTTTCTTGTGGCTGGTACACATTGGAAAATAAATTAATGGCCAGCAAAACACAATAGAAGTACAGATACAATTTCCAGAGCAGCACACTGCCTTTAAGTCCTTTCCTAACATGATGTGTATGGACCAGATCATCAGCTGATATGAAGTGAAGCTGTTCTACAATATTTAAAGAGCTGTCACAGATGTTTTTTCCCAGGATAAATTTTAATTTACTTAATTTGAATGAAAAGTACTCTTAAGATTTATTATTGGAAGCCACCTATCTTCCAGTCTCAGGAATCTTGCTGTCATTTCTCCTCTGGTTTACACTTATTTCCTCCATTCTACCAGATTTCAACACCTCTCCGGCTGTTTATTAGATCTGGAACGATGTACACAGCTTGCCAAGCAACCAATTACATCCTCTATAAAAAGAATATGCTACTTATGTCTAATTAACTTCACTACAGCATGTTCGACATTGTGGGAGAGTAACCTGTCGAGTCCAGGGCAGAGCCGTGCCAGACTGAAGCTCTCCCAGATGACTGCTATTGGGGAGTAAACAAAGAGGGTTGGCTGAGGTGATGGTAAACAGTATACCTTAATGCATGCACTGCCCGGATAGACAATGTGTTAGCTGTTGAATGCTCATTTTGCTTATCTGCAGACCATTAAATCGCCCTGGTATTTTCAACTGCATAATCTTAGAAAAATGCATATTCATTTTCCACCTCCAAGAAACCCAGATAACACTGAACCAGAGTTTAATTTTAGGGGACAGCCTGAAAACACTGAGAAATGGTGACGGAGAAACCCTGCAGGAGTAAGGCAGAGAGCTGCCTGCTCAGCAGCACCCTGTGCACTGCAGGAAGCACTGAGCACTGGGCTGCTCCTTCAGATCCACATCCATCAGCACAAGTCGAACGCAGGAGGGTGAGCCTGTGTGAGGTCAGATAAGTAAGGAATGACAAGGATAGTTGCTGAGCCAGCAACCACCATGTGCATTCAAATGCAACTTTGGGCTTAGGCTCAAAGCTCCAACATGGGGAATGGACCCATCTTGGTGCCCATCTTTCATGCTGTGCTTCCCTCAGTTTTGTGTCTGTGTTATCTAGAGGAGAGGCGCTGAGAAGAAGCAATCAAACTCCTCCTGCTCAATGCTTTTGGCAGTGTTTGTGCTTCAGCTTAAAATTACAACTTCCACTTTTCTTTTTGGTCTTTCAATTTGGTCTTTTCATATCAGGTTTGAAGAGATATGTCCTACAGACAAGCTGATATCCATCCACCCAGCACAAACAGGTACCTTCGTGGGCAGTCACAGGTCACACACACAGCTGTGGAGGCCTTTGTCCCAAGGCATAAGAGTGTTCTCTCCGTTGGTTTGGGAAAGGTGCCTGGAAGGTGCCAGGGACACATCTGGGGAAACTGAGACACATCCATTTAAATAAAGGTGTATTAGGAACATAGATTGTTAATTATACACAGTATGGAAGAAAGTTCTTAACGCTTTTTACTTTATCTCATATCATGTCCTGTAATCACAGAAAGAGATGACATTCAGTCATCCAGAAATGCTGCTGGTGCCCAGAATGGAGACGAATTCTGTAACAGCAAGTTCATTAACATGTAGCAGGTCTGCTTTGCAGATGTATTCTGTGACATCGGATTTTGCCCCAAAGTGGCTGTAAGCAGAGGATTATGGCAAACATCTCCCAGTACAAAGGTTGCAGAGGACTCAATAACAACACTGTGGTTTAGGGCGCTGATTGTGCTCACAGTGTGCAGAGAACAAATGAAGTTAAAGTGCTTTGGGCACAGTAATTACCTCTTTTGTCTTTGGTGTGCCAGTGCTATGCAGGTTTTCTATTGCTGAAGTTCATAAATCATTCACCAGGAGTGCAGCATGGTGCTCCTTGCACAACATAATTAAGAAGCTAAACCATCGCTGCAGCAAGCCCAGCTGCAGAGAAAGGTGTTTAATTAAAAGTGGGCTGCTTACAATGACTCCAAATTGTTTCAAGTTCCAATTTCAAGCTTTTAAATACTGAAACGTCAATTTGGACTTTATAAACTGGAAAATGTTGTGAGGAGCATAAAGCCCCGTGATCCCAAGTTAGGTGAGATCTCTGCTTGCACTTTTGCTGAATGCTACATTTATTAGCCCGACTCCTAATGCAGCATCATCCTGTCTGGGGAAGAAGCACTTCTGCAGAAATCTCTGGTGCAGCTCCATAAGGAAGGGCAGTGTTCAAGGCAGCCCTGCTCGTGCAGCTCAGTTTGCTGTAGGACACGTCCCACAGCTGCATTTCTGCTGCAGAGAGCTGTGTGTGACAAACCAAGGCTTGTGTCTGTGAGTGGGACCAGGATGAGCAGCTCTGGGTTTAGGAGACGCTGTCTGACAAACACAGCCAAGCACTGCCAGATGTTCCAGCTGTGCTCTCTGCCAAAAGGCTTTCAGCATTAAGAAAACATTTTGCTTTTCCCATTGCTTGTAGCAAACAGTTCTGTATTGAACTGAAAGAGACTGAGTTATATGTTGTACACAAAACCTTTTCCTCTTGATCCTGAGCTTCCAGGGTGCTAAGGAGAAGCTCGAGGAAAGGCTCTCCCATGAGCTGCACGTGCTTTGGTGCTCTCTCCTCCTCCTCTCATGGTAGAAGAGAAGCAGCCAGGTGAGTACCAAGCAGGTGAACCTAGCAGTAAGTAAAACTCGAGGGGCTTACATCACCAGGACTATCTCAGCACTTCAAAACCCCTGAGAGTTCCTTCTTGTCAATACCAATTGCTTTCCCACCAATTATTCACTACCACTGCTTTTTATTTATCTGAAACAAGCTTTCTAGGAGATGTGATATTCAAGCTGTTAGGGAGTATGCTATTCAAAACATTAAGTTACCTGGGAATTTGTAAGAATTTCTGTGGAAAAGTCTTGGGGATAACGCTGTGGTGGCTTCTAATTTGTATTTTTGTCTTTATTGTGAAATTAATCTTAATTATATCATATCAGAGAAAAAAAAATCAAAAACATAATCTTCACAGCAAAAATTAAACTAGTTACGAAAATCCTTTTGGAAAATGGTGTATTTTCTCTGGCCTGGCTCCAAGGACTGTCAGACCACCAGGATGCTGTGAGCTCACCTCACCATGTGTGTATTAGAAACAGCGAATACAGAGTTAACATGTTAAACTTCACCCAAAGCTCTCACCTGCAGGTCACTCATTTAGATTTTTTAAGTTTGATCTTGCGTGTTTTCTTGCATTCTCCCTCAGCATCCCTGCTTCCACAGCTGCAATTACTGAGATTAGTGATTCTGCACATCAGGTGAGTTAATGTGGGGGAGGAGAGGGGCAGAACAGTTCAATTAATTAAGCTGGGTTGTAGCACATCATCATCATTTGTCAAGGTGTCAGCTGGGGAGGTCTCCAGGAGCACTGCAGATTGCTAGCACCTCCTGGGAACTCAGCATCATTTGTAGCCCCAGTGTTTCAGGGCACCTGGGAATGGTGCTCCTCAGGTTAATGGCAGAGCAGCCCTGTGCTGCTAGGATGGAGCCTGGCCATGCAGTGAGGAGGGCTCTGAGCAGGGACACGAGGAGAGGAGAGGATCTGGGACTCCATGGGGCTCTGGAGGTTGCTGAAAGGAGAGTGAAATGAAGGTTTGAAGGAGGTAATTTCTTTCTTTTTTTTTTTTTCCCCCCTGCATTTTTTGCACATAGAAAGCCTGTAGGGAGTAACACTGTTCTTGTTTTCTGATCTGACATAAAAGCTTGGAAACTTTTTGATGTCTTTATAAGAAGTTCTGGCTGTCTGCTCCAGCTGATTCTGAATCCCTCCATCCCTCCGCAGTGAGTTTTTATTAATTAGCCCAGTGTAGGAAAATTGGCTTCCCCACCCTAAGGAGCACCATGCTCACATTTGAGGGGATGCTGTAGCAGGGAAGGGAAGCAGGCTGCTGCACAGCAGCTCTTGTGTGTGTTGGGCGCTGGCATCAAATAGCTCTTGCCCACCCCCTGCTCCCATCAGCTGTGCTCCTCGCTCTGTAAGGCCATAATTTGCTGACCTGTAACTGGAGATGCGTGTGATGGTATTGAGATGAATGAGGTACTCCATTTGTGGAAGAGGATAAAACCAAGGAATTGAAAAAGGCAGGGCTGCCTTCTTGAGTGTTACTGAAAAATCTTTTATGATGGCATACATCAGAACAGGAATACAGGTAATTGAGCACAACCTGTTTGCTTTGAGAAAACAGTCTTTTGTAGGTGATTGCATGTTTGTTTTAGAATGATATATTCCGTATGATTGAGGGAAATAGTTGGTGAGAAACTTCATCTATCAGCCCAGAAATGGCTCCCGTGACAGGGAATTGTCACTAAAGGTACAATACAGCCATTATTTCTTGGTTTAACATCAAGAAAACTCCAGTGTTTTGCTTGGTCTGTAGCTCTAGAATCTTCATCTCTCCTCCGCTTTGATATGTAGTTATGCTGTATTTTCTGTTCCTTCCTTGCAAGTATCAAGTGCTTTACAAACTGATATTTCATGTAAATAGCTTGTATCTAAACAAAGTGAGGAAGGAATGCCCTGTTCTACACCTGAACACTTCCAGGGTGCATTGTCCCCCAGCTCACACTGCTCAGTGCTGCGGGATGCTGCTGCTCCTTGGATCTGAGCACAGGATTACGGCTCCTTTCGAGGAGCACTGAAGCCTGCTCATGCAGCTGGTTCAGTTCTTCCCTCCTTGTAAAGATGCAAGGGTATTCCAGAGCCTAACTTTTCTGATTTGTGAAATCTGTGGGGTTTTTTTTTCATCCAACCTTGGTTTTTAACTGAACATGTTTTCTTTCTCTAAGTTTGTCTTACAGCATAACTGCTTCTTCCTCTGTTTATTTACTGGCACAAAATCTAGCTAATTTATGAGGCTAAGTAAGCAGATCTGTTTCAGTTTCATGCTCTGTTCCCACTTCTTGATCATCCAGGCAGCTCTCAGAAATACTGCTATACATTATCCTATACCTCTATACTGAATATAATGCATCTTTGTCTATTGGAAAAATGATGTGTAATATGATTTAACTTTTATTTGCAAATAACCATTCTACACAAAACACACTTGGATGTCTTATTTCTGAGTGATGAATTCCTGATGTTTATCAGACATTCTTCCTAGCTCTGCAAAGCACCACCTTACATCCTGTGTAGGCAGTGACCAGGAGGAGCACAGCTTTTTGTTCTTTGATTTTCTAACTTGTCAGCAGACAGACGTGCGTTGCACAGGCTCTTGTGAAAAGTAAATAAGGGATGTTTCACAAAGTCACAGCTGCCTTTGTGCAGCTCTGCCCTAAATCTGAGCACAGCTTGGTGACTGCTTTATTTGCCATGTAGACCAACGCCATTGACGTGGCTGGCTGGCCTGGGACTCAACCTGCAGACTGCACAGGTTTGTCCCTAATAACAGCTTCAGAAAAGATCTTCTAGCGTTTGTCAAAGTGGGGAAAAAAGAAGTGGACCAACTTCTTGTCGTGCTGGCAAAATGGGGGGGTATGGCTGTGGCTGTGTTACAGCAGCCCTGAGCACTGTGCTGTCAGATGCTGCTCCTGTTGGTATGGAAGAGCTCTCTGGCTGCAACTCAGCCTGACCAAATCTGCTTTACTTCATCTGTAGCAAACTGCATCATCCAGGTACTTATTTACTGACATGCTGCATGGTAATTTTTGCCCTTTAATATTCTGTTGGCTAATTGCAGTTAATAGCGGTTCTTAATCTTGCTAATTACTGTAAATCATGCTCTGCCAGCCATCCTTTCTTTCAGTGGCAATAAGGCTTTTTTTCTCCACGGAAGGTGCATGTAGTTTAATATAATAAAAGCGCCTCAATAATTAAGATGTATTGGTGAGGGCTATCGAGTCTGTATGTGAAAGCAACATACTGGTTTAAAAAAAAAGAACACAAAGGGAAGAGAAAAATCAGAGCCTGTAGAAAGCTTTATTGATGCAAATGACAGTCAGTATAACTTCAGCCAGCTTAGCTTAGACATTAATTACAGGTCTTATGTTTAATTTTCAGCTACTGGAAGCCTGCAGTGTCGCTGGTGCAGCATTTGGCAGGTTGAAAGCTACCTATGGGCAATCAGTGCTTCCAGCAGTGCTCTGGCATCCGCGTGGTCCTCCTGGAGATGCCTGACCTCCTGAGACTGCTCACGCTGAATGCTTCTGATTTCATGGTTAATTGGTTGGCCACATCATCGCATCCTGTTAATGCATGTAAACCCGGTCAGCTTGGGTTTGAACTGTTACACTGAGCATAAGCCTGTGTAAGGCCCTCCAGATGAGTTGAAGATTTCGTCTACCACAGGTTTCTTGCTGTGTTTTGAACTTGAATGCTGCCTGAATGGTTTTGTACTTGCACGTAAGTGCTGGTGGTGGAACTGCCTCTGAGGATCCAGCTTCGTTCCCATGAGGAGGGAAACGCTGTGCTTGGAAGGAATATTTAACTGGTATGCTCTGCAGAGTGCAGATTCACGGCGTAGCCTTAGGAGAAAGAATAGAAATAATTCAAGTCACCGAAAATAGGTTCTTTGGGGCTGTGGCCATGGAAGTAAAGGGACTTCTAAGAATATGATTAAACTTTTGTTTTATAATGAGGGACTACATGTGGTAAGGTGAAGTGCTGGAGCTGCAGTTTGCATCACTGGTACTCCAGGTTCTCAGCCCAGAAACCTTTCCATAAAGCTGCAGAAGCCTGAGCTAAGCTCTCTATCTGACGTATTGCTGTAGAAGGAAATGTTAAATAATGAATTAACATCTGATTTTGACTGTCCCCAGCCACGTGACATGCATATGGGGCCGTGTTATTAATTGCTTGATGTAGCTGCAGAAGAGTCATTGGCTTAGCTCACAGGTTGCTGGCAGGGTGTGCAGCACTGTTTCGAAGTGTCTGATGGTGTCACTTAAGATGCTCACTGTGTGCCACAGCTATGATGAATCCAAGGGCTGACAATCAGAAGGATAGTTTTGAAACTTGCAATTTTTTGGCCAGTTCTGTTTTTGTCTTCAGCCTGTTTAAGAAATAGAAGTATAAATCTTATTTTTGGAGTGGCAATTTTCTTTGCTTATGGTGATTTCAGCTCCTTCAGAGAAGAGCCATGTGCTTTTGATTTCCAGTGAGTGAATTCATTTTGTGCTTTTTTTCCTTCCCCTTTTGGATTTGCTCATTCCTGCGTGCCCTGTTCATGTACCCAAATATGTTGTTCTTTATCCTGGCTTGCTTTTGGCAAACGTTTCTGTTCATTGCATAAATAACCAGAGATATGGAAACGTAACCAATTCCTGTGTGAGAGACGTTGCTGCCCTGCCTAGAGGAGATAATAAGGATTGACAGGGGCACTGACATTTGGGATAATTTGTCTCCAGGAGCTTTAGTCCATGTGAGCTCAACCAGTATCGAACCCAGTATTCTTGACTTTATAAAGAGATTGGGAGAGGGAGATGCTGATGTGAGGAAGTTCTTGGTTTGCAGCTGCCAGCCCTTCTCTTTCACGCTGACTTAAACTACTGAGGATGGTGATTATGGGACCTCCAGATCTCCTGGCATTTGGCAGGTGGGCTGTGTCATCAACACCGAGGGCTTTCAGAACAGGTGCAGGAAGAGCTGAGCTGCAGAGGGCTGCTTAGGAGACATCTCGAAGAGTTTGACTTCTCTGGCTTGGAATTTGCAATGCATTCTCTTATGCCTTTCTTGTCCTGTCATTGTATCTTTAGAAACAGAGCTGTTGACTTCAGCAGATGCCACCCCAGCCCAAACGTCATTTCTTAAAAACTCACTTTTGTACATATGTATGAACCTGTAGCTCTTTTCCCCATTCTTTGTCATCTCAACATCAGTTTTTAACATTTAAAGGTAAATACATCTTTAACACAAGCTTCCATCAGAGTAGGGATTTTACTCCTGCAGTTCATACCTGTTATTAAATCTTGAACTTTGTTTTCCTCTTAATTTCTTTACTTTCTCCACATCTTTTAAAAGCAGGTGACAGCTCAAATCAAAATATATTTTGGTGTATCGACTACCTTGACCATCCTTCTAGTTAGATGATGAAATTCTCAGTCTTTTAAGCCCCAAAAGATTATTCTGTAGAGCCCTCAGAATTCTTTTTGTTCATGTTTTTAGCTATTTACAGAACCTCTAAAAGTCTGGTTGAAGAAAATATCCATTATATTTTAAATAATAAAGTCAGATGTCAGTTTTGAATGCTTTAGAAGGAAAAGGAGATCCAGTCCTAATGTACTTAAAACATTAGAGAGATGTGTTTTCCAATGTAAATAAAACCCAGGTGATCAAATATATCTGGAGACTGACTGCCTTACAAGACATGTAGGAAGATTCTAGTTTATTTGGTAAAATTCTGCTTCTCTGAGGTAAATTTTACTGTTATGTCCCTTAGTTCCAGAAGTCGTGTTAATGCGCACTGAATAAATTATGTTCATCAGTAGTTTGCTCCATCACATTCTTGACTTAAATTATAAATCTCTCTCTCTCAACATTTTTTTTTAATCCATTTTTGAACGCATTATTTTGCAAGTCAGCCAACATAGATGTGTTTTGTTAAACATCCTGTGGAGCACTGTGCCCCATGACAACCAAGTCAGGAAGCTGGAGCAGATGATGCTGTCGCTGGGAGAGGTGGAATGCCCCAACCCTGCTCACGAGCAGTAAGGGCTCAATGTGACAAGTCCTCTCATTTGATACCTGGTCTTAAACATCAGTTGCTATGGCAGAATACTTAAAACATAACTGAGCTTTCCTGAAGGGGAAAATAAAATAAAATATCATATATGCTGATTGTGCAGTTCAGGAATTGAGAAACTCACTGAGCGCTGGTGAAAGCCAAAATAATGAATTGTGCAGTAATTCTACTTGCTTACTCCAAGAACAGGTGTTCTGTAACTGATATGAAGGCATGAAAATTTCTTCTTATTTGGGTTCTATTCTTAAAAGATTTTCCCAAAATTAAAAAAAAAAGTAACTTATCAATTTATTTATTTTTACAAATAATCTCTGTTTACCCTCCTAGTTCCAATTATCGCATTAATAAATGGCATTTGTACTGATTATTTTCTGTATGGGAAGAATCTTGAGAATTTAGTCTTTGGTATTACTTTGTGCATTTGGGAGTGGTTCTGTTTTTCTCCCAGGAAGCATTAAAACGTAAGGTCTGTATCAGCATAGTTGTTTTCCCCCAGTTATTCAATGCATAGTTCATTATAGTACCTACAGTTCCTTTCAAGCCTTGAATAAATGATACAGACCTGTAGGTGTTCTGGTCCAAGTCAAAACTCCTGGCCAGTCTGAAAGGAGGCAGATCGTGTTGGCTCCAACGCACCATGAGGAGCCCATGGTGTAACAAACCAAGTATACAGACAATGCTTGAATATCCATCTCATGCTTAAATTGAGTGAACGCAGTGGGAAAAGGCAGCAAACCCAAGCTTTATCTCCAGATTGGAGGAGGCATTTACAGGAGTCACAAAACTGAATTACTGATTTGACTTAATTGTGCTTACAGCCAGAAATAACAGTGACGTGCTTTTGATGCAGTGCTGTAAGGTGGTTATTTTTAACGTTGCGTCTTTCAGAACTCCCAAACAGAACCAGTTCAGCATCAAAGCTGATTTTGTGAGTGTGGATTCTCTAAGCAGCTGCTGTATGCCAAAACCAAGCGGGGTCTGTCACTAGATTGTAGTGATCATATGATACCACCATGGAGGACGTGACTCATACCATGACCTGTATTTTGGGATTTGCATCATCAGCTCACTCTGATATTCAGACCTTCCACGTGAACTTGTAAATAAGTTAACTATCTCTTGTTCAGACCCCTTATCTGTCACAGATACAGATTTTGTGTTTGTATCAGCCTATTTAATTTGCTGTCATGGTAGTTATTTCCTTAGTACCTCCTTGGAGCACACCTCCATTACTGAGTAAATTAACACTTCTGGATTCACATTGCTCACTTTGGCTTGCTCTGCAAAGTGCCTTCTGAGCCTCTTTAGCCTTGCTGCCTGCCCACATGGGTACCACTCAAGTACTTCTCTGAAAAAGGTGGATGCAGCATACTTTAAGAATTTAACTTCAATAGCAATTTAAACAGCTTAGCAAGCTCATTCTCTCCTTCACCTTTTGCTTTTCTAGAGGTACGTATTATCCCTATTTTAGCATTCCTGAACAGAGATCTCTTATGTGTGATTGCCACGCATCAGTAAGGCGCTCTGTGGGTTACAGAAGCAAGTGGAGATTAGTGAAGAAGTGTGAGGAAGCGTGTGCTATGGTGCCTCTGCAGTGGGGAAAGGGGAGAAAAGCTTGCAAGATAAGGCAGGTTGAGCAGCTCCTGTATTGCATCTGCAAGCAATGGCTGCCTTCTATTTTTTTTCCCCCTTCTTCTTCCTTCGTGATTCTTGCAATGATTACTGTTTCTCATCAAGTTAATGCTATCGAGTCCAACCCATGAGACCACTTCACACTGTGCTGCGTCAGCCAGCATTGCTGTGTTATCTTATTTACTTGGATCGCTAATACAACCTGTTTTGACTTGCTGGTAGGCAATGCATGTCAGCTGGGAAACAAAAAGGGAGACTTGTTTATGTTGCAACAAAGGCAGGCCTCTGTTTGCTTTTTGCACTAAGAAAAATGAGCTCAGCCTATAGCAAACATGGATGCATTAAAAGTTAAATTGTAGAAAAAAAAAAGAGTACAGGTGTTTTTAGAAGCATCTTACTGAAGTTGTGGTAATTAGCTTGGGTTTAGATATAATTCATATTAAGTTTTAAGATTGAGAATAGTTTTGAGAGAGGATTAGAAGTGAATATCCTTCTCTTGACTCTACCAGAACTGAACTGGGCAGGTGCTGAGCTTGTTGAAATTCTGCTCCATAGACTGACTTGATACTTGGATCTTTGAGGCTTTGCATATTTACTCCTCTTGTGATTACGCCTTACAAACACTCGTCAGTAACTTCTGTGACTCTGCAAAATAAGCCTTCAAAATCATGGGGCTCTCTTAATGTTTCCAGTAATGCATTATGCTGAAGCTAACAGCTCATCGTTCCTTTCCTTCGCATGCTTACAACGAATAAATCACAGATCTGGCATGTCTTGGTTCAGCTATGCGCCGCTTCTGAGGATGAATGATGTAATAGGGCTACTAAAAAGGGGAGGGTATGGATTTTCTTTAGTCCCTGTGTCATAAGAAGTGTAAATCTGATCAGTTTGAAAAATCCAGGTCAATTTATTGTGTAATATGAAAAGTACTTAATATATTTTTGTGTCGCAGATCACTGCAGCTTACAAGTAGCATGCAAGTGCCATGCTTTGGAAAACAAGTTACTTGCAAAGAGCTTTTCCTGAATTATCTTAAAAGCACGGGTATAGAAAATGGAAGGTGGCAAAGGATAGCACTTTATTTTTTCTTCTAAGCTTTGGAGCAGACATCTTGTGCTTTAAGAAAAGGCAAGGGAGAAATGTTTTCCTGGTGGTGATTACCATAAATTTTTGGCCAGTTATGTGATGCTTAAAGCAATTGATTTGTTTGATGAAAAGACAAAGGTTGCTATCACAGTACTACATGCACCATTCTGTTGCAAATCGTGCAGCCTGTGCAAAATGTCTTTTGCAGCTCTGCAGTACTGACTGCACTAAAATACAGAGCACTGGAGAGGCTCCAGGGGAGCAGATCCCACACCCAGACCCCATAGCTCTGACGCAGCAGTAGGCAGTGCTCCTGGAGCACTGTTGGCTGGGGAGGATGGATTAGATGCATCCTTCTGCCTTTCTTCCCCTCACTCCACCCCACTCCTTCCTCTGGTGCTGGCAGAGCGCATGAGGTTTGTCTGGGCTTTCCCTGAGTTCCTTATCAGAACACCTTGTCCAAATGTTCTGTCTCTGTGTGCTGTTAAAAGTGTCTGCAGTATTGATGGGGTACGGAGAATCACTTTTTTGTCTCTTCATATTTCCACTCCCATGTCTCCTCTCTTGCTGCTGTTTTTCTGTGTGGTTTTCTGAGGAAGCCAGGCAGGTTGTGCAGGTAGCTGACCTAAGGGACAAAGGCCAGTTAATTGCTTGGATGTAATTGGGACACGCAGACTGGGAGAAGCCGTGGGTGCCTCAAGTGTCTGCAATAATGGCTCTCCCAGGCTTTAAGAACAAATAAAAAATGAGTGGGAGTTCCATTAGAAAGGGAAAGGAGAGCTGGGAAGCATAGAATTGGTCATTCTTTTTCAGATCTTGGCCTCTAAATAAGCAAAATCACACTGGACATTAATGTCCAATGACACAAGTGTGCACCTTGATCATGTGTATGTGTTCTTCCCCAGTAGGCTTCATCACCCACAGGGCATCTTTTGCCAAGTTAAAGTTCAGGTCCAGCAGCATCTCAGCCACAGCATAAGAGAATCCCAGTGCTGAGCCAAGACACATCACCTTATCTAAGGTACAGACAGCACTCCAGGTTTAATGCAGGAACCTTAAAAGAATCAGAGATGCAAGTTATCATATTGTTCCAATGATAAAAATGCAGGTTTGATAAATGGAAACATCTGGCAATAGTTTATTGTACAACTGTTCCAATGCTTATCTTTTTGCAGACACCATGGTTAACTCCATTCAGTGGCAGAGTTGCAACCAGTGAGTGAAAACCTATATACACACACACACACACACACACACACACACACACACACACACACACACACATATATGTATGCCCTATACATTTATATGTAACTTTTGAAATTATCTTTCCAGTATTACCTTTTGGAGATTTCTAAATGAATATTGATTTTTATTACCCAGGAATGTGTTGAGCGTTTTGCTTGACTCCTTTTTATGTGGCTCCTGTTTGCAGATTGGTGACACTGTCTAAATTAGATGTATGTTGAAATGACAGAGTAGATTATAAAAGTGGATGGAGTCTGGTGCTTATGCTGTAGAGCACATTCTCTGCCTCCGGGCTTGTTTGGACTGGGTGCAGAGTTTACAGTTGCAGGCATTATGCAGGTCTTAGAACTATCCTCTGGATGGTATATTAAATCTTGACCCAGCTTCGGGCAATGCTGTGACAATTTTCCCAGTGTATATTGGCCAGAACATGGAGTGAATGGCAGTGAACCTCCCTGCTGTATGGGGCTGCAGCCTATTACTGGGAGAGCAACGGTGCTTGAAGCATTCAGTACAGTGAGGTAGAGCAGTATTTCCAATGCATATTTTCATGAGAGATTGGCATTTTTTTGAGTTGTTCTTATACCAAGTATTCATTTTATGAAGTTCTACTTTCCACTGAAAATCCCTTACAATCAGATTTGAGGATCCCCAGTGTGCAGGATTATTTTTAACTGCTAAAGGAGAAGCAGAGAATGTTGAGGAATTAATGAATGAATTCATAGAATGGCTTGGGTTGGACGCGACCTCAAGGATCATCAAACTCAAACCCCAGTGCTGCAGGCAGAGCTGCCAACCTCCACATCCAACACTCGACCAGGATGCCCAGGGCCCCATCCAACCCTGCCCTTGAACGTTCCCCACTTCGTATCTCAGAAACAAAATAAGAGGAAGGACAGAACCACACATTAATTCCTGGTCACTTTTACTGCTGCCTTCGTGGCTCCTCTCCCATCTCCTGCAGTGGCTCGCTGTGCCAGTTGTGAGAGCACACACATCACCAGCACAGCGCTACCGCTGCCCGTGGGCAGGCAGCTCGGTGCCATCCAGGCCTTCACAAACCACACTGAATACTTTCAACTACTCACAACATAACTTTCAAGACTTGCCGGTGAGATCTGAATGAATTTGAGTGATGAACCAGAATATATTTTTACCGTGTAAGGATAGTTCCAAGGAGTGGCTGGATGTAAAGAAAAAAAAAGAAAAAGTCAGCCACCTAAGCCCATCCTATAAGTTATTCACTGCTAATTACTCCTCCTGACTTAATGGAGATTTTTATTTTAATATAGTACGTACAATGTATATTAATTCAGGTTTTTAAAACCGTCTTATGGAAATTAATATAGAAATAAGTTCTCAATGGGAAATGATGTTTCAGGAATACTATTTTAAGAGAGTAATGAATACATTATGAAAATTTAATTGCGCGTTTTAAAGCAATTATCCGACTAATCATAAAATTCCTGTTGCAAATAGTAATTAGGAAAATATTTAGATTTACCTAAGTGTATACGTTGTACAATGCAGGGAAAAGGTCAGAATCTTCTCTGATACAAAATAATTGTCCAGCAGCTCTCCCTTAAGACTTTATAAAGACTTCTTAGAGTCCCACTTTCCTGTGGAGTCTGTTTTCTGTGTTTGAACACATTAATAGAACTTGTAGAGTACCGTGGTGGAAAGGAGTATCCCTGCAAACTTCCTGGAGAGGATTTCAGACAACACTGTTAAGGAGCACTGAGTGCCAGTGCTAAGCCTGTGTGTGCCAGAGAAGCGCCCCGAGTGCCTCCTGCCCAACAGGAATACATTGCACCTTATTTAGATTTTAAGATAATGTTTTCATGTTCAATTACCTTCTCTAAGATGAAGATAATTTTATGCTGCTGATTGCAATGAAAGGCCTGGCACAGAGTTAGTGCTCCTCTGGCACGGAACCAGTGCTCATGTGGAGGTTTCAATCTGCAGATGCTTCAAACCTTCCTTGAAACTACCTTGGAATTTGGGTAAATTATGTACCATTTTCTGCTCAAGTGACTTAATTCTCTGTTGGTGGGTGGTGCAGTAGGCAGGAAAGTAACCTTTAATTTTCACTCAATTAACACTTTTTTTCTAGCATTTATTTTTGATTTCAGTGTGGTATCCATATCACTACCAAAGACATACATTTGCCATTGTAGCATCATGAGTTTTCCATGGCACACCAGTGCAGTATTCTTCATTTACTCCAGGTACTATATACTAATAAACTAAAGAAAAAAAGCTTAATCA